ACCATAAACTCCCCTTCCCTGGCAGAGTACTTGTCAACCATTTAGATGTCATATCTTTGGAGCTTACGTGATTTGCCCCACAGCTTGTGAAAAGGAGTTTCGGTCAGCTAGGATCTTCACAGAATCAGCTTTTTTACAGCTAAACAGCAAAGTGCTCATTATATGAGCATGAAGGGTTTTCCACTGCACAGAAACAGGGACATTCCACCACAATAACGAACTGATAAAACGTTCTAAAAGGAGGAGTTACTTGCTGTAGCTAAAAATATAAATCTTTGCTGGGTATGTATCTCCCCAGATTCAAAGCAAGCAGGGGGGGGGGGGGGGCTAGTTCTGGTTTCCAGCACTGAACTAGAAAGTGGTTTCAGCCAGTGGCCAGGCTGGTTTGCAGTAGAACAGCTAGATTTGAGTCCAGTAGCACCTTAGAAGCCAATGAGATTTTTTTGGTGGGGGGGTATGAACTTTTGAGAGTCTGAGCTTCCTTTGTCAGATACCCTGAAAATCTTGTTGGTCTCCAAAAGGTGCTACTGGTAGTATGCAAAGCTTCGGAAAGTGTGATGGGCTCTCAGGCACCTATTCTGTTTGCTGTTATGTATTCCTTTGATTGCCGTTCTCAAACGGTGGGGCATCCACCATCTGGAGGATCTTTGTGAGCCTCAAATTAGATTGTTGGCTGTGGATGTAAAATACAGTGTTCCAGAGAGTTCTGGATTTTGGTGGCAGTTGGGTCCTAGATGATGGTAGCTTCCTTCTTTTAAAATTGGGGAGGGGTGCCTACTGTTAATACACCAGTTTTGATTTTAAAATATGTTCTGCTTAGGTAAAGAGAAGATGATCAACTGCACAGCATTCTTAGGTTACTCTAACAATTTGCTCAGTCTTTATTGGAGACAGGATAATAAATTTTTAAATATGTGTAAAGATACCACAGATAGCGCATCTCCTTGTGAAATGGAAGACCATGAATAGTAAGTAATGCTTACAGGAAAAACGCCACATATATCCATGGTTGTATAGTGTCATTCTTGGTGTTTGGGGATGTTACAATTTCCATTTTATTATTAATTAATTAATTAAAACAGTTATATCCTCCTTTCCTCTCGGTTCAAGGTGGCTCACAATACTTTTGAGGTCCCATCTGGCTAGGATAAAAGGTAACCATCGGGCATGTCTGCGCTATGGACACAAACCGGTTTAATAGTATTTTCTGCCCCAGCATCTCTGGGGTGGAGGTTTTGCTGTTGTTGTTTTTTAGAAATCTCTAATCAAATTCTCACCACCCTCCCTAATCTATGATTCCCAGAGGTTGAAAGCCATGTGAGTTAAACTGGTAGAAAACTTATTTAGGTGTGTAGTGTAGATATGCCCTTAAGTAATAGCTTGTTATTGTCACTGGTGTTGACTTGGGCAAGTTTTTGTTGTTTGATTTGGTATAATGTAATATCTTCGTACTGTAATCTATGTACTGCCTCCTAGATCCCTGCCCATCGTGGCTGGTTAATGCCTGCGGTGATGACGTGCGGATCCCTCTGAGGGAAATTATCCATCTGTCTCTTTCAACGGGGACCTTCCCAGAGGGACTGAAGGAGGCGGTAGTTCGCCCTCTCCTTAAGAAACGTTCCTTGGACCCGACGGTCCTTAATAACTACCACCCAGTGTCCAATTTACCATTCTTGGGTAAGGTGGTAGAGAGAGCAGTGGCAACACAACGTCAGGTGTTCTTGATGAGGCTAAGGTCCTGGATCCCTTCCAGTCTGGCTTTCGCCCTGCCCATGGGACAGAGACGGTGCTGGTCGCCCTGGTGGATGATCTCCAGAGACATTTTGATTGAGGCGGTTCGGCGCTGCTGATTCTTCTCGATTTAGCGGCAGCGTTCTATTTGGTTGACCTTGAGGTGTTAATCCACTGCCTCGCCGATGCTGGGATACGGGGACAGAGGGTGGCACTTGGGGGGGAACTATCCCAGCAGCACCCACTAGAATATGGTGTTCCGCAGGGAACAGTCCTCTCCCCCATGCTGTTTAATATCTATATGTGCCCCCTCACCTAGATTATCTGGAGATATGGGCTGGGTTGTCACCAGTATGCGGATGACACCCAGCGCTATCTACTGATGGATGGCCGTCCGGACACGGCTCCAGGACACCTTGACGAGGCGTTACAGGCCGTGGCTGAAGTTAAATCCATCTAAGATGGACGTCCTGTACCTGAGTCATGGGGGAACCCCCGCCCTGACATGGGTCAGGGGATCAGGCTCCCAACCTTTGATGGGGCTCCATTGGTGCCTATGTCGAGTGTGAAGAGTCTGGGGGGGGGGGGCTCTTGGATACCTCCCTCTCTATGGAGGCCCAGGTCACCACCACTGCCAGGTCTGCCTTTTTCTATCTGAGGCAGATCAGACAGCCAGTCCGTATCTGGCTCCTCGAGACTTGGCTACAGTGACCCATGCAATGGTAACTTCTAGACTGGATTATTGTAACTCTCTCTACGTGGGGCTGCCCTTGACTCTGCTCCGGACGTTGCAGCTAGTGCAGAATGCAGCAGCAAGGGTGCTGACAGCAACGGCTTTGCGGGCTCGTATCCACCAAGTGCTGCGCAAACTGCAATGATTTCCTATTGAATTCCGGATCCGTTTCAAGGTGCTGGTGCTTACCTTTAAAGCCCTATATGGCCAGGGGCCAGCATACCTATGAGATCGCCTCTCCCCAGATGAGCCCCGGAGGGCACTGAGGTCCACAAATCAACATCTGTTAATGGTTCCCGGACCCAGGGATGTCTGGCTAGCCTTGACCAGGGCTAGGGCTTTTTCAGCCCTGGTCCTTGCCTGGTGGAATCAGCAGCGGACATCCCCCTCTCTCCCCCCCCCGCTTCTCTGGCCCTAGTTTTTTTGGCCCAGCTTTTTCCGGCCAAATTGTTCACCAATGGCCCGATTCTGACTACCTCTATAGTTACATGGTATTTTATGATGTTTATGATATTTTATGTGTAATTTGTTATTTAAATTGTATTATTTAACTGTTTAATTGTATTTAACTGTTTAATTGTATTATTTAACTGTTGTACACCGCCCTGAGCCCACCTGGGGAGGGTGGTATATAAATCTAATAAATAATCGCTGCGGCAGTGGCATCTTCAGCAGTAGATACAAGACAGGCTGATGTGGATCTGTGATTAGTGATGTTTCCTTCCTTCCCCACGCCCTAAGCAATAGAAATGAAGGACTAACCAGTTCAACCAGATCCTTTATAACTGTCTCTCCCCCCCCCCCCTGGCAGTTATGAAGGCGGCAAATTCTTTGTCTTGAAGCAATTGTGGATTAAAAGTTTTCAAGAGGAAGACATCAATGCCGTATACAACTGCACTTTATTAGCTGCACGAAGCACAAATGCTGAAACAAAAACATTTACACTGAAGAAAGGTACTGTATGACCTTATCTGACATCTGAGACCCATCAATCTGTGTAGTTTTTTTTCGAGGAAAATAGCTGCTATCCATGTGGAAGCTGAGTGCGCTCACTCTTCTCTTTGGCCCGATGGTACGTGTCAATTTCACACAAGCTGCTGCGCGGCCGCATTTTGCCCCGCAGCTTCGTGCGATTTCCCCCACGTCTACTCAATCCTGTTTTTTGGGACTGAAGGAGGCGGTGTCCAATTTGCCCTACTTGGGCAAATTGATAGAGAAGGCGGTGGCGATACAGTTACAGGGCTTCCTGGAGGATGCTTCAGTCTTAGATCCCTTCCAGTCCGGCTTCCGCCCAGGCCATGGGACCTAGATGGCTTTGGTCGCCCTGACTGATGATCTCCGGAGACATCTGGATCAAGGCGATGTGGCGGCACTGGTGTTGTTAGATCTATCGGCAGCGTTTGACACTGTCGATCACCAGTTGCTGACCCATCGCCTTGCCGACGTGGGGATTCGGGGGCTTGCCCTTCAATGGTTTGCCTCTTTCCTGCAAGGTCGGGGACAAAGGGTGGCTTTCGGGGATCAGCGCTCCCATAGGTATCCCATTGAGTGTGGGGTACCACAGGGGGTAGTGCTGTCCCTGATGCTATTTAACATTTATATGCGCCCCCTTGCCCAGATTATCCGGAGTTATGGGCTGGGTTGTCACCAAAATGCTGATGACACCCAGCTCTATCTGATGCTGGGCGGCCGGTCGGACTCGAGTCCCGATGACCTACATCGGGCACTTGAAGCTGTGGCTGGTTGGCTCCGACTGAGTCGATTGAAACTAAACCCGGCGAAGACGGAGGTCCTGGGCCTGAGTCGGACCGGGACAGGGGTGGGGCTCCCTCTCCCGACCTTCGATGGGGTGCCTCTGGTGCCTACGTCTGGGGTTCGGAGTTTGGGAGTACACCTGGACTCTGCCTTAACAATGGAGACCCAGGTGGCAGCCACTGTCAAGTCCGCCTTTTTCCATCTTCGGCGGGCACGGCAGTTGGCCCCCTACCTGGATCGGGATGATCTGGCCACAGTGATCCACGCGATGGTCACCTCGAGACTAGACCACTGCAACGCTCTCTACATGGGGCTGCCTTTGTCGCAAATCCGGAGGCTGCAACTGGTGCAGAATGCTGCGGCCAGGCTGTTGATGGGTCTCTCTAGGAGGGACCATATCCAGCCTGTGCTGAAAGCGCTGCACTGGTTGCCCATAGCGTACCAGATTCGCTTCAAAGTGCTGGTTCTTACCTATAAAGCCCTATATGGTCTGGGTCCAGCCTACCTGAGGGACCCCCTTTCCCCGTATGTTCCCCCAAGAGCACTACGGTCTGGGGCCCGAAACTTATTAACTGTGCCGGGCCCCAAAGATGCTAAATTGGCCGTCACGAGGGCTAGGGCTTTTTCGGTGGCCCCCACCTGGTGGAACGAGCTCCCAGAGGAGATCAAGGCTCTGCGGGATCTGGTACAATTCCGCAGGGCCTGCAAGACGGAGCTCTTCCACCAGGCTTTCGATTAGGGGCCGCCGCCACCCACCCTGCTATTACCATCATTGGGGGGGGGGGGAAGGGCCCTAGGATGGAATGAAGAAACACCGGAATTGACACCCAATATTAAGGACACGGAATGCCTACCAGGGTGTTGGAAGTGGATGCAGTCGACATCTCCCGAGGCTCTGAGATTGTTGAGCACTTTAATGTATTGTATTTATTGTTTTTAAACTGTATAACTTGTTTTAAATGTAATTTAAATTGATGTTTTACTATGGTAAGATCTTTTACTATGTAAGCCGCCCTGAGCCCTACGGGGGAGGGCGGGATATAAATCTAATAAATGAATGAATAAATGAATGAATCGCACAAAGCTGTGGGCCAAAATGCGGCCGCGCAGCAGCTTGTGTGAAATTGACACGTACCATCGGGGCAAAAGGGAGGAGTGAGCGCGGAGCAGCGCTTGTGGGAAATCACCCACCGAGTGTCAGCAGAGTGGGAGTGATCTGCAAATTCCACTTACCACCTGACTTGAGTTGTGCTGTAGGAACGGGAATTTCTGGGTCGTCTTTCGAGTGCATTACAGTAGTCTGGCCTCAAGGTGTTATATTTATGATCATAAGAAGTACTCAGAGAGGGGACTTCTTACTCTGCTTTTTTATTAAGCTCCTGCAACAGGACTTAAGTCTGTTGCCTGAAACTTCTGTTTTAGAAACCAGTTCTTGTGAGCTTCTCTTAAAAAGACCACTCCTCAAATCTTACCTGTCTTGTGACCTTAAACAATAAAACGACTTAACCTAAACAATATGTACAACCAACATTTACTCACAGAGGTAACCTTAGCATGGATCCATATGCCCTAAATTGATCTTTGCATGAGAAAGCAAAACAAAACACTTTCCATGAGTGAAATTGTGTATAGCAAACTCATATGGAGAGCAAACAAAACCAGTAGATGAATGGTGGCCATCCATCTAGACAAGACGGAAGTGCTGTTGGTTGAAAATGTAACCAATGAGGGGTTAAGGAGTTATAGAATACCATCCTCTCAGCGGTTCTAGTTTCTCCGGGCATCAGATGAAAACTTATATTATTTGCACAAGCATTTTGCTGTTGTTTTCATAAATGTAGTATCTTGGTTAGAGTTGCCATCTCTGGGTTGGGAAATAACCTGGAGAGTTTGGGGGTGAAGCCTGAGGAGGGCGGGGTTTGAGAAGGGGAGGGACTTTAGTGAGGTCTAATGCCATAAAGTCCACCTTCCAAAGCGGCCATTATCTCCAGGTGAACTGATCTCTGCTGCCTGGAGGTCAGTTGTAATTCCATGAGATCTCCACCCGTCACCTGGAGGTTGGCAACCCTAACCTTGGTGTTTACTTAGGGTTGCCAGCTCTGGGTTGAGACGTTGTTGGAGATTTGGCAGTGAAGCCAGGGGATGATAATGCAAAGGGTCTCGGCAGGGTACAGTTCACCCTTCTAAGCAGTCATTTGCTCCGGGGCACCCGGAGATCAGTTTTCACTCCAGGAGATCCCAAGGTCCCAGCTGGATGCTAGCAGCCTTATGTTTGCTGTACATCCTCCGTGTTTAGCTCACTTTGATAGTCATTGAATTTGTTTTAATGCTCCTGAATTGTTTTTAATTTTATCATTTTATTGGGTTTTTTTTTTAGCCTTATTGTGTGCAGCTTCAGACTTCTAAATAATCACTTCTTAATAAAATTGTACCTAGAAGTATACGGCATGCTTAGCAGTGGGATATTATAGCATGAATAGACATGTCTATTAAAAAGATGATTTTTGGGAGGATATTATGTTCTAGCACATTACGTTCCCTTGTTTTATTTTTCAGTTAAACCTTCAGATCTCTCCCCACACACCTTTGCTACCGGAATGATCGTGGCGATACTGTGTTCCCTTGGTGCCGTTGTGGTGATGATTCTATGTGTTGTATTCAGAGTTGACCTTGCTTTACTGTACAGGGATCTAGCAGCAAAAGATGAAACTCTGGGAGGTAAAATATGACTGGTGTGTGCTTGTAATAATTTCAGCGTCAGAAACACACTGGCTGTTTTCTGTTGGTAGGGTTGTCAGATCCCCAGTCTGGGCAGATGTTCCCTTGATTTTCAGGGCTTCAGCCTGCCACCAGCCAGTGGGAGAGCCCCACCCCCGAATAGCCTCCTTACGTGGCAATGTCACTGATGTGATGACGTCATATGGAAGTGATGTCATCATGCTGGGGGCATCGCATGGTGACGCTCTAGCATTTGGGGGCAGAACTCTATGGTAACCACAGAGTTTTGCCCAAAATCCTAGAGCATTGCCATGTGACATCCCCGGTGTGATGACATCACTTCCGTGTGACATCATTGCATTGGTGACATTACGCACGGTGACGTCACCCCACCCGCCCATTCCTGGAAAGCTCCTTCCCAACGCCTGCCAGCAGGGTAAGTCAACCTGGAAACCTTATCTGTTTGTGACCACAGCATGGAGGGAGAACTGACTGTAGCCTCCTCAATACTGCTGGTTTCACATCCTCAACCGCTCCATGTTTTTCTTGTTGGCTGCACTGTAAAATCCATTGGTGATAATCTTGGTATAAGCCCTAATACTCCTATACAACACATAGACGCTGAAAAACATATTCTCATATCACTATCTCACGCTCCAGTGCAGCTTAGAGTTGACTGAGAACCAAACCAGATGTCACGTGTGACACCAGTTGGGACGAGGTGTCCGATCTGACTCACTGTCACACATAACTTGTATGGAATATATGTGTGCACAAATTGTTCTATGGGTCTTGGAGAGTGGATTGTATCCTTCAAAATTAGCTTGAAACTACTGAAATGCCACTATTTTAGGAAGTCTCCTGTACCATCCAATAGGCTGGACTGGGCTGGGAAGGAACAGAAGCAGAAGCAAAACTTGCATTCAAAAACTGCAGATAGAGGAGAGAGTAGGATTTTTTAAAAGTTTATCACGTTGGGTAAATACATGGTTCTTTTTTCTTTCAGATGGGAAAATATATGATGCTTTTGTGTCTTACCTGAAAGACTGTGTACCAATATGTGGTGAAGAGAGAGAGTTTGCTGTGGACGTATTGCCAAGAATATTAGAAGAGCATTTTGGATATAAATTGTGTGTCTTTGAAAGGGATATTTCTCCTGGAGGAGGTAGGCAGATGGGAAATTGCATAGAATAACTTTGTTTTTGAAAAAAGGAGCAAGATCCTTCAGCTAGAACAAGCCTTCCTCAGGGTTTAAAATGGTGTGCTTCGCACTATATAAAAAAGATGTTTTGTGGTCAGATTAATCAGCCAAGAAAATGGTTCTTTACCATGGTAAAAGAAGAATTCCATTTGTTTTGTACCCTTAGAAGCCCCTTGATTCACGAACCTTGAGCAGCAGAAGACACTTTTTTATTTTTTAGATGCAAGGGCTAAAAGGACTGAGACAGATTTTGCAATTGTTAGGGTGATTTTAGGATCCTTATCACTGAGCAATCCCTCATAATCTCAAAAAATCTGTATTTCAGCATGGCGTGAAAGGATATATCCAGGGCTCTTTTTGTAGAAAAAGCCCAGCAGGAACTCATTAGCATAACAGGCCACACCCAACAGAAGAAACTCATTAGCATATTAGGTCACACACACCCTGACAGCACAGCTCATTAGCACATTAGGCTGCACCCCCATGTTACCAGAAGTGTCGACATCCAGCCACCTTTTTTTTCTTATTCTGTTTACCTTGTTTGTTGTCAAAACCCAGGGCTTTTTTTGTAGCAGGAACTCCTTTGCATGTTAGGCCACACACCCCTAATGTAGCCAATCCTAATGAGTTTCTGCTGTTGGGTGTGGCCTATTATGCTAATGAGTTCCTGTTGGGGGTGGCCAACTTGGGAGCCAGCCGGAACTCTGTCCCTGTGCGTTCCTGCCCCAAAATAGCCCTGGTATCAATCCTGCTAAGGTCACAAGGGCAAATTTGGTCAATGAAAGGCCTATTCAAAAATCTCCCCTGCAAAACCATTGTAGGTGTAATGTTCAGTCTTGCAAACAAAAAAGCTGCATTTGGAGAACCGGGTTTGATTCCCCACTCTACATGAATCCAGCTGGGTGACCTTGGGTCAGTCACAATTCTCTCAGAACTCTCTCAGCCCCACCTACATCACAGAGGAAGGGAAGTCGCTCTGAGACTCCTTTGGGTAGTGAACAGCAGGGTATAAAACCAACTCTTCATCTCCTTCTCCTCCTCCACCTCCTCCTCTGCTGGGCCCAGGCGAGTGGCCATCACACCCAGTGTTGCTGTGCCTGCCTGTACACAAGTGAGCCAAAGGCTCATGCCCTAGGCAGTTGCTTAGGTCTGCCTAGCAGGTGGGCCAGCCATGCTTCCAGGTCCCTACTACACTTAAAAATAAGGGAATATCTCTAAACTATCAATTGTGTCATCACACAAGGAACAGCAGTCATCCACATCTTTCTTGGCTTAGCACGCTGCAGGCCATGCCCAAAAAAAAAAGCTAACTTCCCTGAAGAAGGGAAATAGCTTTTTTCTACTGTATTATATTCTGAGAACATTTTCCTATTAGTAACAGTAGAACAGTATCCAGTCCCTGTGGGATGGGCCCGTGTGAAAGAACAGTCTAACTGAAAGAGGAGGAAAGTGACATAGATGTTTGCCACTTTTTAAAACGTAATGTGTATAGGGTAGCGCCATTATTTGTTGATCTGTCCCAGATAAGTGTTATGTGAGCAGCACATGTTGTTGCCCTACATTTTGTGAACGGTTCACACTGCTTTAGCAGAAGAGGTAATTTACTTTTGGTAATGTCACAGAAAATGTGTGAAATTGTGGTTTTTGATTTCCTTCCTTCCCAGAAGTCCCTTTATCTCTGATTGTCTCAAATGCCTGATAGCACTTTTGTTTTCAGACCTAAACCTGGTTTTGACCAAGCCATTGGGGCATATAGGATAATATTTTATATCTTCATCCCTGCCTTTACAAATAGTCAATGGCTATTTACATTGTAATGTCCATTTAAGTCCATGGAATTCTACAAGTCAGAGTTGGTGACTATTGAATTGTTCCTTCAGAATTAGAAAAGAACAAAGTTGGTCAATATCATAGCAAAGCAGCAATTGCTTAGAGCAGGGGTGGCCAACCTGCAGCTCCGGAGTCACATGCGGCTCTTTCGCACATATTGTGTGGCTCCTGGCAGGATGGCTAGGGAAGGGAAGGGAAGGCATGCCTCCCTGATGAGTCTTCCCTTCCCCAGCCAGTGTACCTCTCTCTGGGTAGGCTTGAGGTGAGGGGGGGAGCAGAGAAAGAAAGCAACTTTAAATGCATTCTCAAAGCCCCCCACCCAGCTGGCCTGGAGAAGGCATTTGTCTCTTTAAATCTCTTCTCCTTGCCAAGCCTGCTGGTGTTGAGGCATGGCAGGGGGAGAGTTTGGAGAACACATTTAAAGTTATAGTTGCTTTATTTTCATCTCTCCCCCCTCCCCCCCATTTATTTGCTTTCTTTCCACCCCTCTCGCTTTCTCCCCCTCACTCCCTCCCCATCTATATACTTTCTTTCCCCTTCCTTCCTTCCTTCCTTCCTTCCTTCCTTCCTTCCTTCCTTCCTTCCTTCCTTCCTCCCTTAAACCACACCCAACACACACAAACACCTGTGATACGATATTTACAGTGCACTGAAGTCCCATAGGTTCATTTTTGGATCCTAGTCATCCGATAGGCACGCCCTAGGATCTGTTTGGGCTATTGTCTCTGGAAGCGAAGCTTGGGACGTTTGCATGGCCACGTGTGGACCCGACTGCGTGTGCGGTTTCTCCGGGTACACAACCCTTCCTTCCTTCCTTCCTTCCTTCCTTCCTTCCTTCCTTCCTTCCTTCCTTCCTTCCTTCATGGATCTTGCTTGTACCTCTGTGTATTGACTGTGTATAAATGCCTTTCATTGCTGTTGCCAACTCCCGCTTTTGTATACCCACTTGGCTAATTGCTTTTGTATAGCCCTTTAGCAGACAGTCCTCCCTGACATTCCTGAGGGGTGGGGAGTGTGTGAATGTGTGAAAGGAGTTATAGCTAAGGTGCCTCTTGTATCATTCCTAAGCAGTCCCCATAGAGTTCACAGGCCCCAGCTGGAGCAGTGGCCTTGGCAGACACACTAAGAGATGTCGCTAGTTAGGTCTTATATTCTCTCATGACCTGTAGTTGCCTTATTGGGTACTGGTGACATGTGCATGAGGGGTGGACCCCATACCCTACATTCTATCCCAATGCTTTTACCCGCCAGTTCTGGCAAAGGTGTTCACCTGACCAGAAGCCATACTTTACCAATAAACCTGTTAAAGGACTAATGCGTACTGAGTGGTTACTACAGGACCTGACAGTAGTGCTCCCTCCTGATATATGAGATAGGAACACCAGAAATGTAGTGTCTGAAAAGGCTTTGTGTCTTGAAACATACTTTTATCTCATCCTTAATCCTTTTGGGGTGGATGGAGTGGGTAACTGAACAAAGCTTGCTGACTACTTTGTAACATTTTGGATTGGTCTTAAGAAAAGGTACTGCCCAGCTAAACGTCTTTGGATTTCCCCCCTCATAGGCTGACTCAGTTTCCTGTGATCTTTGTCCCTTTTGTGGCGCACTTTAGTGCAAATGCAGTCTGTCGTCCCTAAACCAACCAAGTTAGAGAGCAGTCAGGAGTAGAGGCCTGATGGTATGCCTCAGGAAGTGTGCCTCCTCCTACTGCTCTACCTGTGTCACCTACAGTGCACCTGTCACAAGTGGCTGCGCACACATATATGAGAGAAAATAAAACAAAAGAAATAGGACAAACTGTCTTTCAAAAATGCATGTAACCAGGCTACTTACTAAAAGGGTTTCCTGTCTGCAGTTCTTCACATTGCATTGCAGTGAGCCTGAAAAATTATGAAACTTCCTGCAATGTCCTTTCCTCTGTAGTTTAACAGATAGAGGAAGGAAGGAAGGAAGGAAGCGTGGTCTGCCTTTCATAGCTGGCGATGAAAAGATGCCATCTATCTACAAGTGTAACGTGGCAGCCAGTCCATCCTGAATTATGACAGTTGGCAATCTCTGTGGTTTCAGAAACCATACAAATCATCTGATAAAGTGTGCGTGCACATGAAAACTTATACCCAGAATAAAACATTATTGGTCTTTAAGGTGCCACTGGACTCAAACTTCGTTCTGTAAAAATTTCAGTGGAGCTCAGTATTCCTATTTGGTGGCTACTGCTGTTAAAATAGCTGGTTTTGTTCTGGATGTCTCTCTGTACAGAATCTTGTCCCTAAGTTTATGATACCATTTAGTGTCTTTTCATATTAGTTAGAGACAGCCAGGGCTATTTTTGGGCAGGAACGCACAGGAACGGAGTTCCAGCTGGCTCCCAAGTTGGCCACGCCCAGCAGGAACTGATTAGCATAATAGGCCACACCCAACAGCAGAAACTCATTTGGATTGGCTACAATTAGGGGTGTGTGGCCTAACATGCAAAAAGCCCTGGGGTTTGACAACAAACAAGGTAAAGAGAATAAGAAGCAAAAGGTGGGTGTGGCTGGACGACCACACTTCTGGTAACATGGGGGTGTGGCCTAATATGCTAATGAGCTGTGCTGTCAGGGGTATGGCCTATTATGCTAATGAGTTCCTGCTGGGCTTTTTCTACAAAAAAAGCCCTGGAGACAGCTACAGATAAAAATAGTTACTGGAGGTTTCCAAATATTTGCATTAGTATTAACTGTTAACAGTAGATTATTACTGCGAGTGCAGACTCATTGATTTCAATGGGGCTTCTGTAGACGACCTTTCAAAGTAGCTTACGTTAAGGTTTTTTTCTCCCAATTAATTTCAACATTTTAACTAATACCTCTTCCATTTACAGCTATCATTGATGATGTCCAATCATTTATTGACAAAAGTCGAAGATTAATTATTATACTGAGCAAGAATTACATTTCTGACAAAGTCATGTTTGAGCTTGAAGCTGGATTGCACAAGGCCTTAGTCGAAAGGAAGATCAAAGTAATATTGATAGAATACATGCCTTTAAGTGATTTTAGTTTCTTGCCTGATTCACTGGAACTTCTTTCATCCAGACAGAGGATAAAATGGAAAGAAGAGAAATCTCTCCCATTAAATTCCAAATTTTGGAAGAAACTCCGCTATGCGATGCCTGCAAAACCTACTTCGGTTAATGCACTAGCCTGTTTTCCTAGGATACATCCTAGGGCAAAATTAGGTCAGTTCGCACCTCATCCCAGGTGGGTTTCCTGATCAGGGCTTCATTGCTGGGTTTCACTGAGGTAAGGTTAGTTCTTTTTCCTCAGTGTCTTCTTGGTACCAGATTCTTGGTAGATCTGGAAGGGGTACTTTACGGTATTTGACTTGTGTTATAGACATATTTGGGAATTTCTGTCTTCAATAAGCAGGAGAACATAGGACTATCAGTGCTCACATTCTGAAGATTTACCACTGTCCTAAAAGAGAGGATAAATCATACTTTTGTTGTGGATGAATTTCATGTGTATTGTGAGATAGAATTCTGTGTCTCAAGAAATTTCAGTTGGTGCTGTGTTAATATCTGTAATTGAAAAGCAGGGTGTGATAAGAGCAAGTGGTAATTTGTGTGTGTGTGTATTTTTGAAAGAATGTGTTTTGTTGCATTTCAAAGGAGTTTTAATGTAATTGATTATATATAATTGGTTATTGTTTTAATTTGGAATATTGTAAACAAAGCCTTTTTTAAAAAATTACCGTATTTAATTATTGCTTCTTTTGTATATTTGGATAATAGAATCATAGAATGTTAGAGTTGGAAGGGACCTTGCAGGTCATCTAGTCCAACCCCCTGCACTCTGCAGGCGTATACTGAAAGATAGCCCTACATACCTACAACATACCTGAAAGATGGTCATCCAGCCTCCAGTTGAGAACATCCAGCGAAGGAGCATCCACCACCTCCCGAGGCAGACTGTTCCACTGCTCAACCACTCTTACAGTTAGGAAGTTTCTCCTGATATTTAGCCAGTAACGACTCCCTTGTAATTTCCACCCATTTGATCTAGTCTTGCAATCTGGAGCAAGAGAGAATAGATCTGCTCCATCTTCTACATGACAGCCCTTCAAATACTTGAAGACTGCAATCATGTCCCCTCTAAGACTTCTCTTTCCCAGGCTAAACATACCCAACTCTTTCAGCCTTTCCTCATAAGACTTGGATTCCAACCCTGTCACCATCCTGGTTGCCCTCTTCTGGACACACTTGAGCTTGTCAACATCCTTCCTAAAATGTGGTGCCCAAAACTGGACACAGTACTCCAGGTGAGGCCTGACCATAGCAGAATAGAGCGGAACTACCACCTCCCTTGATCTGGGCACAATGCTTCTGTTTATGCATCCTAAGATTGCATTCACTTTCTTCACAGCCACATCGCACTGCAGGCTCATGTTTAGCTTGTGATCAACTAGAACACCTGGATCCCTTTCACATGTGCTGCTGTCAAGCCAAGTCCCTCCCATTCTATATCTATGCCTTTGATTTTTTGTACCTAAGTGTAGGACTTTGCATTTATCTCTATTGAAATTCATTTTATTTGTCTCAGCCTACTGTTCCAGCCTATCTAGATCATTTTGAATCCCTCCTAACTTCGTGTCATCTGCAAATTTGATAAGCATCCCCTCTATGTCTTCCTCCAGGTCATTTATTGGTATATTTAAATTGTGGTCTGACGTCCTCCTTTTATGTATGAATAGTTTGTTGTTTATGCTGAAAATAATTTATCAGAAATGTCTGCCTTGTGTTTTTTGTAACTGTTTTTCCTTTGCCTCGTAATTAGGGCTCATGCCAAAACAGGACTACTTGGAGCCCCATAGATGGACTAGTCTAGTCATGCAAAACTTATTTGGTGTTCATGCTGTCTGGACTTGGGTTTCAAACTGACTTCAGAAGTTGAAATCCAAATCAAATTTTCCAGGTCCCCTTGTCAGTTAAAGTAGGCCTGTGCTCTTTAATATCTACATGACACCAATGCATGATTCTATGCACTTAGGCGGATCATGAGAGGGAGGGCAGGAAGGGTTGCATCAGTTGCTTAGTTCTTGTGGCCCATTCTTACATACCCAGGGAAATGCCAATTGCCACTTTGGGGTCAGGAAGCAATTTTCTCCAGGCCAGTTTGGCCAGGGATCCTGGAGGGTTTTTTTTGCCATCATCTAGGCATGGTCCAGTAACAAATAAATATACACTGCAAAAACCTTTTAACAAACTAATGTGTTCTATTTATGGTCATCATTTAGTAAAGTGCACTTTACTAGTCAGGTATAAATATTCATTACATTCTATAAGCAATAACATTCAGTACATACAGATTGATAACTACCAGACAATTTTGCATCAGCGTTTTAAAAGTCAAGCCCCAACGGGAGTTTCTAGAATTATAAACCCGCTTCTCCTTGCATGAAGTCTTCCAAAAAGGGGGACAGCTTTATTAATAGTTGTATGGATGCTTTTTGCCGGTCCTACAAAAGACACATTATGCAGCTAACATTCATGGATGGAGTACTCCTGTCATTCTCAAAGCTGCATCATCTAGGCATGGAGCAGGGGTCACTGGAGGTGTAGGGGGGAGGTAGTTGAGAATTTCCTACATTGTGCAAGGGGCTGGACTAGAAGACTCTGGAAGTCCCTTCCAACTCTATGATTCGATGATTCAGTGGGTGAGGTCAGCTGGAGATTTGGGCTGCTCTATGCAAATGACGTTTCTGTGCTTCCAACCCATCCAGGGAGTCTGTAGAAACCCTGAACTGGTGCCTGGAGTGGATGAGGGCTAATAACCTCAAGTTTAGTCTCAACAAGATGCAACTGCTACTGGTGAGGAGATATGGCTTGGGATTTAAAGTTGCACTCGCCATTGAAGGAACAGGTCCATAGTCTGGGAGCACTCTTAGACCCAGGCCTAGTGCTGAGTAGGCAGACGACAGCTATGGCCAGGAGTGCCCTTTACCAGCCTTGACTGGTTAGCGAGCTTCAGCCTTTCCTGCAGATCTGGCCACGGAAGTCCGTGATCTAGTCATGTCTAGATTAGTAGTGCAAAGTGCCAGCAAGTTGCAGCTGACTTATGGTGATCCAGTAAGGTTTTCAAGGCAAGAGATTAAATATGCCTGGCTCTGCATAGCTACCCTGGACTGCAGTTGTGGTCTCCCATCCAAGTATTAAAAAAGGCTAACTGTTTCTCCTCCAAGATCTGATGAGATTGGGCTAGCCTGGGCTATCCATATCAGGAGATGTCTACATTACATTATTGCAATGCGCTCTGTGTGGGGCTGCCCTTGAAATCAGTTCAGAAACTTCCGTTGGTGCAGAATGCTGCAGCCAGAATGTTGACTGAAGTGGGTCATAGGGACCATATCACTCCAGTCTTGCTCTTTCTCCTGGTTTGCTCCTGGGCTCTTTCTCCTGGTTTGCTAGTGCTGACCTATAATGCCCTATATGGTTTGGGACCGCCTACTCCTTTTTGAACCTACCCATTCTCTGCAGAGATCATCTGAGGCCCTGCTTTGGATCTTCCTGCCTTCTAAGATTAGGTGGGTGGTAATCCAGGAGAGGGCCTTCTCAGTGGTGGCAACAAAGCTCTGGAACTCTTTCCACAGAGAGACTCATCTGTCCCCTTCTGCCAGAGAGCCAGTTTGGTATAGTGGTTAAGTGCGCAGACTCTAATCTGGGAGAACCGGGTTTGTTTTGATTCTTTTGGTGTTCCCTCCATGATCTCTTTCCTGCCCAGTGTTTCAGTTATTTTTGTATGTGTATTTTAGTTGTGGTTTTAATTGTTTTCATTATGTGTTTTTGTTTGAATAGTTTTTAAGATGTGGTTTTACTAGTTATGTTTTTGTGAGCTGCTTAGTGGCCCTTCTTAGGACGGAAAGGCAGGGTAGAAATTTTGCAAAATAATAAAATTAGTTTATTTTATGTTGGATTTCAGAGTGTTCATAATCCTCTATATTTAGTTGGATCTTATTTTTTATAATCAATTGGGTTCTATTTATATTTTGTACATATTTGTATATTTCTGTGTTCTTTTGCATATCCAAGTATTCATTTTTCCGTATCATAGTTAACGTATGGGTTATTCTTTACAGTTCGGTGTATTTTCCATGACTGTATTAAACAATTAAAATGTCACTGAATAGTCATTATTGTATTTGCTTGCAAAATGTTTTTCCTCGCAGTCCAGGAAAGGGCTGGACCAACCATAACTCATCAGAGCACAAAGGTGTATTGCATGCCACATTGCTGAGCTTTTACAAGAAAGTCTTCTTACCAGATACCCAAGTGTTGGCCACATCTAGCAGCAAATCTGTTTTTCCTTGTTTCTTGTTGGTAATTTGCTAATTTTTGAACGTATGGCTTCAGTAACTTGTAAAGAGCTGCATAGAAACAAAAGATGTACACTGCGTAAACAAAGGTCAAATCAAAACACCACCCTGTAAAAAAAAAACCTTCACTGTAGCCATACTTGCTGGTCTTCTTCGCAGGTCTGCAGAAGACCTGTTGAACTCAATGAGTTCAGTGGTAAAACACCGTAGTCTGATGCAATAGAAGAGAGTTACTGATGATACAATTCATTGTTTGGAAAAGAAGTGATAGTCATTATCAGAGACACTCTGTTTAATTACAGCTGGACACTGTATGATTTCCCCTCTTCAAAATGCAAGTAATGGGAAGACAAACATCTTTCAGAATTGCATTAAAATAGGACAGATGAAGTACAACACAACGAATGGAGTGGATTTGCTATCATGTAGGTGTGCCTCTACCTGCACTCTATGTATATGTACTTGTAAATAAAGCAAATTATGTTTCCAGAGGGATGTCTTCCAAAAGCTGTCCATGCAGGTAAATGTTGCCCTTGGAACTTCTCAGCAAAAGCAGGAAGGGTACGAAATGATGGCTTTCCCATGGGCCGGCTTTTGCTACAGCTTCTTGCTGTGTTTGCTGTGGATCCAGCTTGAAAACCCCATCAAGCAGCACTTTAGGAGTCTTCTTTGTTAGCACCATTAGGACCCTAGCACTATTTATTTATTATTTATTGTATGGCAGAATTATACATAGGAAGCATATAATATAAAATACATAACCAAGTTGATATGACTATACAGACAGATTGAACAATCCCACTAAATACAACCATCTAAATTTTCAATCCACTCAATTGCAGCTGGGGAAAGTTCAAAGAGCTCCATCACATCTCCCTGGAAAGCACGATGCTCACATCCCTGTGACAGATGGGAAATAGTTTGGCAGGCTGCATTCAGGTCCTGCTATTTTGCCCCATTTAAACAACGGGTTTGCGCGTCTGTCAAAGCATGTTCACATTCTATTAGCCATCTTCCATGCTTTATGTGACAAGTCAAATCCTGTGGGTCTCTTGTTGGTGTTTATGAGAGGAACTGATTGCATCCAATACTTGAGACCATTCATTCCTTAGATTGAAATTTTGTGATTGCTGGATTTGTACAGACCTTATAACTGGGTGTTGGGACCTTAGTCTGGAGAGGCCCCATGTCAGCCATATCTTTGTGAATGGGCAGCTCTCTGTTTTTGATGATCTTTTAATATTCAGGAAGAAGAACATGTCTTTGGAGATGCGGGGGAGCGATGTAGCATATATAAATAAATAGGTAGCCAACAGGTCAGAGTGGGTTTCATACATCCACTGATGGTTTTCACAGGAATGCACAGGAAATGAGTTCCGGCTGGCTCCTGAGTTGGCCACGCCCAGCAGGAACTCATTAGCATAATAGGCCACACCCAACAGCAGAAACTCATTAGGATTGTTAGGGTGTGTGGCCTAACATGCAAAGGAGTTCCTGCTACAAAAAAAGGCCTGGGTTTTGACAACAAACAAGGTAAACAGACTAAGAAGGGAAAGGTGGGTGTGGCTAGATAACCACACTTCTGGCAACATGGGGGTGTGGCCTAATGTGCTAATGAGCGGTGCTGTCAGGGTGTGACCTAATATGCTAATGAGTTTCTGCTGTTGGGTGTGGCCTATTATGCTAATGAGTTCCTGCTGGGCTTTTTCTACAAAAAGAGCCCTGCATACACCTGCTGATGGCTCTCATTGTTGTATTGAGATGGGCATCAAGGTTGTGGGCATGGGGGCTGTTGAGCCACAGTCTGGCACTGCACTGGCAGAAGGGGACTCACTGGATTTCTGCCTCCCGCAACACCTTCCGGGTGGCTGAGGGACCTAAAGGGTGAAGGGGGGGGGAAGCTGGTGAGAAACGACTCCTTTTTCGTGCAAGTGGAATTGCTTTTATGCCAGCGGAAAACTTGAACCGACCGATATTGTCAGATCAGCACCAATCAGCCCAACATACAGAGAACTATTGCAGACAGAGCGCAAATGAACACCGTTTCCTCCCCAAGTTGCACATTTGACCCCGGGTTTTGAGAGAGGATGATGAGTCATCCCACAACACGCTCCGCTGCCATTTCGCCAAACGCTCCGCCACCTCCTCCGAGCACCACGCGAAAGCTGTTCCAGGCAGACCACCTGGAGGAGGAGAAACGTATCCCGCCCATGACGGTGGCAGGTGACAGCGTGCCACTGCCACCACAGCCGCACGCACACGAGTGGAAAGTCCGTGCCCTCTCCAAGTGCCCCTGGTTTCCTGGAACAGTCCCGTTTTTCGGAGGCCGGCCTCCCCCTCAGGTCTTTCACGGCTCCGCTCCGGGAATGTCCCGGATTCTACCCAGATAAGAGTTCCGACGCCGCCGCAAAAGCGGGTCAACCGCAAAGCAAGGCTCTATCCCCCGCCATCCGCCGCCCTCTGGAATCAGTGAAAGGCCCAGAGCCCCGGCGGGCCGGCCAGCCAGCGGGAGGCGCAGGAGAGGAAGGAGGCAGTGCCTGCTGCTCACCGCGGGGCTTTCCTTGTGCTCCGGCTTCCTGCGGTGTTTGCTCCGGATCCAGCACGCAAACCCCGGCATGCAGGAGCACTTTGGGAGCCCGCTTCTTCTTAGCACCCAGCGCAGCCGCCCTGGCAAGCGACCCCCTCCTCCTCCCCATCCCGCTCGTCTGAACGGCCGCTATTATAAAATAACATTGTTAAATACAGTGGAGAAATTGTATTTCATTAAATCCTAAGCGCTGTCAGCCTGTTTTCCGGTTTACTAGTTGTCTTGGGCTGTTACCGTTTATATTGCTATACAGAATGAAGGCAAGCAGACAACTCTTCAGACAAAATATGAGAAATCCAGATCACTTTTGCATTTGGTTTTTACCAAAAGCTTATTGGCTAAGTTTTTAAACATTCTTGTGATTTTTTTTTGGTACAGGTAGCTTAAGTTTGGGTGAGTTTATAAAAATTAAATTTAAAAAAAAAAAGGAAAAAAAAAGTTTGGGTGAGTTTGAGGGAGGTAATGTTCTGCTTGTCTCATCTTTGCATCCTGAACTGGCTCCACTTCTGGCCCTACCTTTTTGGTAATTGGATTCCATTCCTGGCATCTCCCTTGTGTCCCTGTTTTCAGCTTTGAAATGTTAGAGGGTATGGACCTGGCTACCAGCCATTATATGATCTTTGTTTTGCATGGTTTGCTTGTTCTTGAGAATGGGTTCCCATATAGAAGAAGAAGAGGAGTGGATTTATACCCCGCCCTTCACTACCTAAAGGAGTCTCAGAGAGGCTTACAAACGCCTTCCTCTTCCCCTCCCCACAACAGACACCCTGTGAGGTAAGTGGGGCTGAGAGAACTCTGACAGAAACTGCTCTTTTTCAAGGACAGCTCTTAGAAGAACTACGGCTTGCCCAAGGTCATCCAGCCAGATGAAAGTGGAGGAGTGGGGAATCAAACCCGGTTTTCCCAGATTACAGTCCACACACTTAACCACTACACCAAACTGGCACTGCACCAAGGCGAACGATTTTGGTTTGGATGTAATAACGTGGTTACTGTGATGCTACTACTGTCTGGGTGGGCATGTTCATTGATGTCTGCATGTGCTTGAGTGGGTGAGCATTTTGGAGGTGGTCTCTTGGTCTGCAGCTAGATGTGATGACAGCAGGCTCACCTGCCTTCCCAATTACATATTGTGAGGATAGTCCATTTTTTAGAGTAAATTTGAATATATGGGGATATAAACCTTGCCCATGGCCAACACCTATGTCCCTATAGCTTCAGCCCCAAGGCTGTTCTTCCCATCAAAAATCAGAACCCAGAACTGAACACACCTGAGGAAAGTATGAAATGACTTCATTGAATATGTTCTAAGTATGCGTGTTTAGCTTTTTAATAGGTATATTTAGAGAGAAAAAGTGGGACCCACAACAAAATATTGTTTCCACCTTTGCACCCCCCCCCCAGGGGTTAGAGAGAGGTAGTTGCTAGGGTGGTCTCAGCAGCAGTTGCTCTTTATCCCCCACAGATGGCTGCAGACGTAGATCCATGAAGGCTTCTTCTATAGCAGGGGAAATCTCATCCCCTCTCCCATAGCTGCGTCTCTTTCCCCTTTTGATCTGTCTCTGTGGGAGGGAAAAATCTATTCCTTCACTCCGCTGACCCTCCTTCTGGTCCCACTTCCTCCTCCCCACACCTTTTTCTCCATTGCCTACCCTTTCTTAAAGAAGCAGAGCAGCAGCTTGCATGTTTCCCATCCATTATATTCTCCAGAATAACCACCAGGTGAATGAGGCTAGTGGATGGTAAATGGCCCAAGGCCACCCAGGTCTTGGATCCACCATTAGCTTCTAGGTGGCACCATGGAGCCCACCAAACTGGAAACACGACATCACAGTCATATGACAGGAAGGGGAAGTGGTGGCAGAACTATTAACTTCACAAGTGCCAAGGTTAGGGAATGGGGAGGCCAACTCTGGGTTGGGAAATTACTGGAGGCTTTCAAGGGGGTGTTTGGGGAGAGAGAAGTTTTGGGGAGGGACCTCAGAGGATATAAATGCCATAGAGTCCACTCGCCAAAGCTGCCATTTTCTCTAGGGGGACTGATCTTGGAAGTCTGGAGATCAGTTGTAATTCCAGCAGATTTCCAGGCTCTACGTGGAGGTTGCCAGCCCTGGGCCAGGACAGGGGGTTGTGGCAGAATCCTTTCCACCCCTGAGAGGCCTTGCCAGCTTCATGCTTGAATGCAAAGAGAGGCAGGTGGTGTGGTACCCTAGTCATATATGCCTGGGCAGTAGCAGCAAATATGTGGTGGCTGTGTGGAAGCTTGCAGCTAACCTGGATAGTAAAAGTTCTTCTTCCTATCTCTACTGAAACTACAGTCTAAACACCAAAAAGAGCTTTCTGCATGCACTCGTTCAGGATTTATTGCATATCCTCATTCATAAATCAGACACCTTGGAAAATGACACATATAGAATCAATGTCATTGAACGAACACATCTATCCAAGTTAATTTTGTACCCACTTGTTTCAAAATCATACACAGACATTAAGATTTTCTGCACATAGTCCCCCCCCCCCCGTGATCTATTCTATTTCTTGAATTACCTGTTCAGCCCATTTTGGCACATAGCCTACATGTGCACAAAGTGTATGAGTCTAGGTTCTGTACATGAACTAGACACGCTGCTTTTCAAAGCTTGCAGGTATGATCTGTCCCCCACTTTACCTGGTTTTGTTGTACATAAATTATGTGTGTACGGGCACACAAGCCTTGATCATGGAAATGACAATGGTAAAAATGAGCTTGCATTTTTAGGGTTCTTTGGCCAGGTACTCCAGTCTTTCTCCTTAAGGTGCAATGTGTGGGTGGTGTGTGAAGTCTGGGGTTTTCTCTGACTCTTTTAGCTTCATGTGTGTTCCCTTCAGAGGAATGATAAAGGCTCCATTGGGTGAGGGACACATAGGTTATTTTTGGATCCTTACAACAGAAGCAGCGCCAGAAGAAAATGGGGCAAAGTGCTTTTTTCCCCTTTTTCTTTTTGGAGGGGGAAGATGCCTTTATCTCACACGTTAGATTTCTGAAAGAGAAATAAAAGCAAATTTGACAGTAATAGTTCATTGAAAATAAATATTCTCTGAATAGAGAATTAAGTTGAGACACAGCATATTTATATATCTGAAACATCTCTATCCTATCTCATCTCTGTGGACTGAAGGTGGCAATTAATGCAGCAATGAAGTTACAAGAGCATCGATCAAGTGTGGCCCTATCTGCGGTTATCTAAATCCACAGATTGGAGCCACACAGCAAGAAAGCAGATACTTCTGCAAACTTGGGGGATGCCCCAGGCTGGCAGAAAAATCTGAAACAAAAAATTAAATAAATAAATTAGGGGGGTTGTAATAAATTAGGGTTGGTAACAATTATTAGAAGGTTTATTAGAAGGTTCGTAACATTCATTTAGGCACAGTAAAAAGATTGGCAGAGACTGATCAAGAGAGAGATCTTGGAGTTGTAGTAGATAACTCACTGAAAATGTCAAGACAGTGTGTGACTGCAATAAAATGGGCCAATGCTATGCTGGGGATTATTAGGAAGGGTGTTGAAAATAGATCAGCCAATATCGTAATGCCCCTATGACCTCGTTTGGAATATTGTGTGCAGTTCTGGTCACCACATGTTAAAAAGGATATTATAGCTTTGGAAAAGGTGCAGAAAAGGGCAACTCGAATGATAAAAGGGTTGGAACACTTTCCCTATGAGGAAAGGTTAAAGCGCTTGGGGCTCTTTAGCTTGGAGAAAAGACGACTGAGGGGTGACATGATCGAGGTTTATAAGATTATGCATGGGAAAGAGCAGGTAAAGAAAGAGGTATTTTTCTCCCTTTCTCACAATACAAGAACTCGTGGGCACTCCATGAAATTGCTGAGTGGTCGGGTTAGAACGGATAAAAGGAAGTACTTCTTCACCCAAGGAGTGATTCACACATGGAATTCACTGCCACAGGAAGTGGTGGCGGCTACAAGCATGGACGGCTTTCAAAAGGGAATTAGGCACAAGAAAGGGGACCCCCGATATTCGGGGGGGGGGAGAAGAGCTGCACACAGAGAAGGAGGAGGAGGAAGCAGCAGTAGCAGGTAACCCCCCCCCACACACACTGGCGGCGCGGCCTGAGTGGCTGCCAGCCTCCGAGCCCGTCGATTCCCCCCCATCCCCGGTCTCCTCCATCCCCTCTCTACCCCCCCAGCTCCTATGGCGAGGCCCGAGCGGCTGTCAGCCACTGGGCCTCGACGAACTCCTCCCCCCTCCCCTGGTCTCCTCCCCCCTTCCCCCAGGCTTCTGCAGTGAGGCCTAAGCGGCCTCGCCTATCTCCTCCAACCCTCCTTCCTCCCCCGGGCTCTTTCATCCCCCCTCCCCCAGGCTCCATCAGTGAGGCCTGAGTGGCCTCGCCAATCTCCTCCCCCCCTGGCTCAAGCGGCGAGGCCCGAGTGGCTTCCAGCCACCAGGCCTTTGGGCCTCCCAATCTTCTCCCCCCCCAGCTTGGGCCCCGCCGATCTCCTTCCCCCACCTGGCTCCGGCGGAGAGGCCTGAGCGCCTTCCAGCCGCTGCCCGCTAGTTCCCAGAGCGTTCTCTGCGCATGTGCAGGAAACGCTCTTTTAATTTTTACTTTTTAGGTAATTTAAATATTTTTTCCAACTTTTCATATTTTTCTGCACACCTGGGCATTGCCCCACGTGCGCAGGAAAATCTCCCTGCCCCCTAGGTGCCCCCGATGTGCGGATTTATATATCCGCATGCAAGGGGGCGCCTTAGGAGCAGAGGTCCATCAGTGGCTATTAGCCACAAGGTATAGATAGGGG